AGCAACATAAAAAACAAAAGCAAAAAAAAAACAATGACAGAAAACATAACAACAATCAGAAACTGCCAACAAAAGATTACGAAGAAAAATTAAAACGTGCGCCAAATGCAAAATGAAAAAACAAAAAGAAAAAGAAAAACAAATAAATTGTTAAAAATGGGAAAAAATAATAGGTAAAGAAAAAAATTTTAATGGCGAAAAATTCTTATATGCATAAAGTCATCTCGTTGGCTATTAAGACGAAGGGCTGGGCAGCGCACAGTGTAACGATTGCGGCCAAAATTATAAAAATTCAAATTCACTACTCGTAAAAAATTATTTGTATGTTAGTAACAAATAGTTGTAGTGAAACAAATTTAATACAATTTAGTAACTATATATATTTGTATGTATTTACATAAATATATAAAAGGACATTCGTTTTCATTGACTCAAAAACTACTGGATAGATCTCAGTAAAAATTTTGGACTCTATTCCTTGCATATCTGGTCGCCTTACAGACTACCAGAATCATCGCTCGCTTTATGGTCCGATGCATTTCATTTCCGGAATAAAAAATAAAAAACAGGTCTACAAAAAATAAACCCCGTATTTGCAGTCGGATCCGGTAGAAATTCATAAAACACACTGCGTCATAAAAGATATTCTTAAAAAAACTGGAATCGAGAAATTTAAAGAAAATCTAAAACCTAAATGAAGGATAGTTTTAAATCAACACGCGCGACGCGAAGCAATCTTTTTTAGAGCAACAGAAGCGAAATCAAAAATTTTTAGAATTTCTGTCTGTCCGTAGGTTTGTACGCTCACCACTCAAAAACTAATACATGGAATTGAATTTGGTTTCCAAAAAAATTCAGTTTAAGTAAATTGATAAGATAAAGTAAATATTACAACACGGCTGCCAAAAGAAAGATCCTAAAATATTTTTGTGGAAGGTTGCCACCAGTTTGAAAATTTAAATTTAATTTAATTGATAAGATAAATTAAATATTGCAATATGGGTATCAAACTAAACAGGGCTAGGAAAGTCGAAAATATTTCTGAAGCGGGTTGCCACCTATATCAAAAATTTAGTTCAGTTAAATATTACTATATTTGTATCAAACGAAAGTACTTTAGAAATCTTTGATTTGAAAAAATGTTCAACTAGCAAATGTCCCGCATGCTGCGCAGCGATTCAAAGTATTTCCCTCTCACAGCATCTAAAACTATGTGTGAGATTTTTTCAAATGATTAAAAAAAATTTATTTCCGCTTTTTATGGCAGATAAATATGTGGTATCTGAATATTTTTTTCTCGACAAATATTGAATTAATACAACTTTTAAGAAAGTTACAAGATTATAAATTAAATTTCCTGGAGAAAGTCGATACATTGCCTGCTTCCTTAATACTAAACTTGACTAGTAAACCAAGTTGATAAGTTAAGTTTATTAAGTTGGTAATACTATAATATCTACAATTCGCAAAAAATAAGGGTCCACCTTTAAATTGGATAGAATTTGGGTTAACTTTTATTTCATGCTTTACACTATCAGTACTACAAAAATTATATTTGTGCAAATATTCTTAAGTCTGCCAATTTTTGGGGTGATTTCACCATTGTTCAAAAAATTATTTTCTCGAAATAACGCAAAAAGGAGCAGAAAATCCAAATATTAAGAAAATCCAAAATTTACATATATTTGCAAAGTCGTGCGATATTATCCAAATATATGTTCGGGAGCTACATGAAATTCTCTTAAACATGCGCCATATTTTAAGACCGACGAACCGTAAATGATGTGAAATTTTGTATTTATGACTTTTACTTTTCCCTCTCTAAACCCAAAGGGTTTTTATTCAACGCAGTACATACATATCAACAGATAGCTATGAATCCGAGGATAATAAATATGCTGATTGACGGACATGTAATATTATTTTCCCGCTTTGGTTTCACGAGGAAGATTGAATAAATATTTCATTAAAGCTTTCTTTCATACTTATCAACTTATTTTGTGTAGGTGGTAGTGGTGTAAGTGGGCCAATCTTCATCATACTTCAGATTTATGTTTCTATGGATACGACAAATGTTCAAACCAGATTTCATCAAAATCGCATAACAATTATCCTTCCATTTCATATTTCATATCTCTTCTTTCTTGAGTAATGTTTTCACTTATGTTTTATATAGGAAATCGGCGCATGGTTACTAATTTTGGCCACAACTTTCATGGGGACGTTACACTGTGCGGCACCCACTTCGGTCCACATCCCACTTACGGTTGCTACGACAGCTATTTTTTTAAGTTTCGTTTTCTTTGCGCTCACTGCAGTGCTTTCATTTGATTCGTTGTTTGTTGGTTTCCTTTTGTGTATTTTTTAATTTTTTCCCCCAACCTTACTTTTCTTGGCCGCGTCCGCTGTCCATTTCTCCCATTGTTATTTCCGCTTTTTATACTAATTAAAAAAATTGCGCTCTACTTTACTGGTTTTCTTTTTTTTCAACTCATTTTCTTTCATTATGTTTACATTTTTTTTGTTCTTCGCCATTTCTCTTCGCGTATTTTTGGCATCTTTTGGTAAAACAAGAATAATTACGCCAAATAAATAAATTTACATAAGCTTGCAACATTAAAAAAAA